TAATGATTACATCAGCGCGTGAGTCACCACACTGGTTTGCTCAGGTGTCAGTAGCTCCCGATGTGGAGCCATCTGTCCTCTCCTCATGGACTCCCAGCACCCTGTCCCTTTGCTCCAACACCATGCCATGCTGCAGCACCATAACTGCAGGCGTAGAGGAGGCCCTCTGGTGCCCCCTAGGATTTGCATCTCAGTGTCTAATTCATTACACAGTGCATACACTTAACGTCTGGGTCTGTTTTATATTCAAGAAGAAAACATAATGTGTAGTTGATACATTGCTCATTAATATGTTAAAGAATAAGTTCTAAGTTCTGCACTGTATACATGCAGTGTGCAAAAGAGAGAGACAATGTTAATTTTTAAATTTTTAGTTCTTCATTTTGTATTCAGGAGGAGAAAACATATTGTCACTGTTCAAAGAAAAATATGTATCTGTAATGTATTTAACAGAAAGTTACCCAGAAGTCTCCAACAACTAAACAAAAAATCTAAATATATATATTAATAAATAGTTAGTGTGTTCACACTTTGCCTTTATTATAGCTTCCATTCTTTTCAGGAGACTTGCTTTCTGTTTTTCAAAGACATCTGCAGAGATATTTTTCTACAAAAAAAGCAGCTTCTTTGATTTTTTTTTTCTTTTTTATCTTATTTACTTTTTTCCGTAAGGGTTTCTTGACAGCTACACATCCTTTCAGACCCATAGTGTTGCGTTGTCTACACACAGTGGAAGGATGGACAGAAAAACCCGTTGATGTTTTCAGATCTGAAGCAAGAGTGGAGTTTAGTTTTCTCCTCTCTATCAAATATGAAAGCTTTGAGTGCTGTTTATCTGATGCTGACAGTTTTGGTGGTCCATCAGGACCTTTTTCTCGGTATCTTTTAGTAATTTTTTGAACTTCAGTTTTGAAAACTCCTTTCTGCACTTTCTTCTTCCTCATACAAGGGGATTACCTTATATATAATCTTTTCAGAAACATTGCCTGAAAAAATTAATTATTTGTATTTAATGGCAATTTTGACCAGAAACTGCATAAATGAAGGTGGTCTTTCCTCATCAAAAACAAGCAGTACATTTGTGGCATAAAGTCCATTTGTGGACATGCCATAAACTCCCCCCACTGGATTATTTCAAGCTGTGATATCCAAAACAATTCTGGGACAAGGGCTTATTTAATTTTTATGTGTTTTTTCCTGTTTGCCTTGTGAGAACCAGCACTGGTGCCAAGCCATGCATGGACCCTCCTGGCACAGACAGCCTGCCCCCATCATAAGACTCGATGTCCACAGACCAGCCATTGTCCACTCACAGTCAACAGCCTCGTTGCCACTCGAGCTTTCCAAACCAGCTCACACCATCACCTGCAGATGGCCTGACACCCTCAATACACTGCATTGTTTCTTAGCTTTCTCCTGCATTTTAGAATCAAAATGAGTGTTTTTTTGTTCTGTAATGGGGAAAAGCATGAACTGCTAGCCACTAAGTTCTCTTAGTTTGGCTTTCATAACAGCTAGAGTGGCGCATTAGCTTTGCTAGCGCTCTGGTGAGTGTGGTGGATGCTGCTGGCTGAGGGAAACAAAGCTGGGCCTCCAGTCAGTGGGAGGTTGAGTTGAGTTACATAATGGCGCTGCAGTGTGTCGAATTCCTACGGGTTTCTATTTTTTTTTTCTTTTTTTGTGCGCCACCTTGTCTAATCCTTCCTGTGTCTGCTCCTGTGCAAATTCACACACTCATTTCACCCATGTCAGGTGGCCTATTTCAGGACCCTTCCCTATTTCTGGCCAACCTAAATGTGGTCTGGGCTACCTGGCACACTTCACAAAGATGAAACGGCACGTAACCAACGCACCTGGGATGAGGTAGATCATTACAGAATTTTTCCAAAATGAAACATGCACTATTTATAGAGGGCTGGTCTATAAACAGCAAAAAAATTAATCATTGTCTAAAGAAGTGGGTACGTGGGCACAAACCTGATGCTGTGAGACTGAAACACTAGATTTTGCCTGTTAGAAGAGATTCAGTATCATGTTCTTTTAATATGCAAACTACAGTTCTTGCTTTTAAAATTCCAAAGTTTTTTGGCCCTAGTATTATATTTTCCAGAAAGAACTATGATTAAAATCAAATCATTACAACATTACACAGAGGCAGTGTTTTGTAACACAGAAGCAGTGTTTCTGGTCCTGATCCTGGACTATACTGTCCTAAAACACTACCTTTAAACTCATACAGGCTTGGTCGTTAGCAGATGAATTGCATCAGGTGTGTTAGAGCAGGAAAAACCCAAAAATGTGAAGTGCAGAAGTACAACAGGATGAAGATTTTAAAGCTCTGCATCAATGCAAGGGAGCTGCATCTGAAAACCAATTATTGCTATTTTATAAAAATTACGCAGGGTTCTACATTGAGTGTTTTGCCAAGAAGCAGTGGTGAGCACTACTTGAAAAATATAGCAGCACACAGAAAAATCTACAACCACAAACCTGACATGTATTTTTACATTTCTTGTTATTCCATCTTTACAAAAAATAATTGTATATTGTATATTTTCACCTCCTGAAAATATTCATGTAGTACTGTTTTATATTAATCTATAATCTTTGTGCAGTGTCTTGTAAGAAACTCCATTAACTGCCAGAATGTACTATTTAGTGTAGAAATCCCTGTAGTATTCCTATTATGCTTTTTCATAAGTGCACTGCCAAAAATAAGATAACAGTGCTCTATTCAGAAATGTTCCTAGATTCTCAAAGCCGTTATAGTTGGCTTAGGCCTTAGTGCAGCACTGGACTGGACAGAATTCAGCATTGTGGTATTTTCTAAATAATAAATTTCCAAATAGGTTATCGAACACATGCTTGCTGAGTATAGCTACTCTACGCTATATGCTATAAGAGTGTCTTACAAACCTGACATAGCTTGCTCTGATTTTTTCCCTGTTTTGCTCTGTTTCTCTTAAAATTACATGAAAGGGAACTTTACACAGTACTGTAAAGGTTAAATCGACAGAAATTAGAATACCACAAAGGCAACTTACTGTGTTTATCAATGAATTTTATAGATTTTAAACAGTTCTTTCATAACAATCTGAAGCATCATGCAAATTTAATTAGTTTTAGCCACTTGCGTCTGTTGTGTGTTAATTGTAAAGCAAAATTAAAATATGTTTTGGCAGCAGGGCCACCACTGTTTTATGTACATCATAGGGATATAATGCTCATTATGTATTAATCAACAAAAACCAGAAGGCCAACACTATCTTAGCAAACTCTTTACAAAAATTACAAAGATTAAGGTTATGTAATAGTGCTTAATGACTTTATCTTCACCTAAGAGTGAAGAATGAGCCAAATTCTGTGTGTGTGAGTCTGTGTGTGCGCACATGCATGCGAGTTTGTAAGTTTGCAGATTTGTTTAGGCAACTTTTGCCATGCAAAGCCAAGTTTATGCCTTATGAAAACAATAGCATTATATTTCCCCAGTACCACACATAGTACTCTGTCAAAGTTGTGGGATACATAGGTCAAGATCTGTTCTTGCAAATCCGGTAAATCCAAATTCTATTCACTTTCTTTAAAAGAAGAGAGTAGGAGCAAACACAGACATTTTGCTCACATTATAGAACATGTCATGAATGCTAAACAAAAGCAAACTAGGCTGTAGGCCGTAGATGTCTTTTAAGCAATTTGATGGTTTGTTATAACATTTCAAAATGTTGGTTTAAATCATTGCTGAAATCCTTCAACTTTGTTCAGAAGAAACAATTCGTTGTTGAAATGTTGGATGTGAAAAACTGGAAATCACAATGAATAGGTTAGCATCAATTTGATCTTTTCCCACAAAACTTGTGAACAAATGGCATTCATAACATTACAATGAGCAGTATGGTTGCTAAGCAACTAAGTCCAGGCCAGTTATTTATTTTTTCCATGAGCAGGGAAAAAAGCTGTATGTAAAATCAGGACGCACGAGTTTTTGGGAGTTATAATTTCTCTAATGATGCTTACCTTAATGTTACATATGATCAGTATGCCATTAAATGCCCATTAGATTTAATGAACAGCTAATGATATCTCGTAAACTTACTAAAATAATTTGTAGTTAGATGAATCGACTATAGCCTTTGGGAAATATGCAAAAATATGCTTTTAAAAAGATGCTTTTAAAACAGTGAACAGGAAGTTGTTCTAGATAATAAAACAGACACATAAAACGTGTAATCAAAGTGCTGCTGGACAATTCACACACACATACACACATCCTCTAAACTGCTTATCCTTCCGGGTCACGGTGGGGTGCTGGAGCCTATCCCGGCTGTCATTGGGCGGAAGGCAGGATACACCCTGGACAGGTCTGCTGGTTAATTCAACTTTCTTAAACATTCATGTTACACTAAGATAAATGTTATTAATTTAAATCATTAGAACAAGCTCTAAGTTTTCTTGCTAAAAAACAAAAAAAGAAATTTAAAACACAAACTATAAGATATGAAAAAATGTGGTATATACTCTCACACGCAAAACTTTAGGCGCCCCTAGTGAGGTGAGATTACACTTTTAGTCAAATTAAGTCAACAAATTCTATATGGTAATCAAATTTAAATTTGGCATTTTGTTCTGATTTTAGATTTATTTATTTGCTGTATTTAACATATTGGAAAAAAAGAAAACATTAAATTAAATATTTTTTCCCAATATGTTAAATTCAGCAAAAAACAGTAATTGTGCATTAAAATGTGCAGAAATTCAGATTTTAGATCTGGCAAACATTCTTGAATTGCTTATTTCCTTAATCATGTCCCTTTAACAGGACTCACATTCATATCTCTCTAACAGTTTTTTTTCCAACATTTGTAAATTATTCTACTGCCAGATTTGTGGCTTGAGCACACTAAATTAGAAATAATTCTTTAACCCGTTAGTGGAGCTACGCAGCTTCAACCGGACGTCATGTTTCATCTTATTGAGTAAGAAAAGTACACAGCAGTGCTCACCACTCCAATGGAGAAGTAGTTGTTGACTATGCTGTAGGGCACAGGGTCTCCCTTCTCCTCTTTATCGTCAGGGACGATGTCTATGTTCCAGCGGTCCAGCACCACTTCAGTGCTGTGCTCGATGTCCCTGAGGAACTTGAGAAGACTGCCTCCCTCATAGCCTGGAGAACAGAGCACAGGCATAATACATGACATGTGGGGTAAACATTCAGGACACACTCAGCCAAAAACCAAAAACTAAAGGAAAGGATTCTTTCACATATAATATACCTTACATATAATATATTTATACCTTTCAATAAGGTAGTAATGCTGATGAGGCTTCAAAGGCAATAATCACCACACTGGGAAAGAGAACTGAGAGAACTAGAGGATTAATGTGAGCTCACTTTTCTTCGCAGAACTGCTTTAATTCAGATATACTGGTAGGTTTTCAAGCATGCTCTGCTTGCTTAAGGCTGGCCAAAGCACCTCTATTGAGTTCAAGTCAGCACCTTGACAAGGCCAGTCCGAAACATTCATTTTGTTTCTGTTCAGCCATTCAGAGATGGGTTTCCTTTCTGTTTTGGACCATTGTCTTGCTCCATGACCATATTATGTCTTAGCTACAGCTCAAGGACAGATGAACAGACACTCTCCTTACACATTCTTTGATACAGAACAGAATTCATGGTTTCTTTAATAATAGCTAGTTGTCTAGGCCCTAAGGCAGCAAAACATCCGGACGCTACACTACATTACATCTTTCCACTGCTACCACCATTATTGAGTGTTGGTATGATGGTCAAAGGCATTGTGAAATGCATAACTTGCTTTGCGGCAGGTATAAAAGGACATGTGTTGACCAAAAAGTTAGAGTTCGAACTGGTGAGTCTATCGAACAGGCTTGGGAATTGCCCAAGTGCTTTTTTACAAATTTGAGATGACCACTGATAATTCTTTTGGTTAGCAGTGTTTTTTCCATTGATGGTTTTCCATGAATTTGACTTTTTTATTGTAAAGACAAGAACACTGTCCTTAGCTGAGGCTAGCAAGACCTGTAGCTCTTTTGATGTTCTCCAGGAACCTTTGGTGACATCCTGGATGTTTTGCCTCTGTGCCTTTAGGGAAATTCTGGGAACTCCTGAGGAAGATTCACCAATGTTCCCAGGGTTCTCAGTTTGTACATGGCTGTGACTGTGGTTCAATGATGTTCTAGAAACTTAGAAATGGTCAAGTAACCCTTTTCAGACTGATACGCCAACTGCTTTTTTCCCTTGTTGTCTTTTGGATTTTCCTGTAACTTGTAAAAACGTTCTTCTGATCTGATGGCAAAATTTAATATGAATGATATTTACATTTAACTGGGCTGGCTGCAGTCTGAATCTTAATATCAATTAAATTTGGTTAATTTGTTGCTGAGAAACTAGGTGCTGTTATAAATCACCCATATGAAAAAGTATGTTGAATATTTACTTTATTTACTTTATGTATTTCTGAAAGGACTATCTTTGTCTAAAATTGCATTTTGTTTAAGGATGTGTTTATACTTGTAGTTCAGTTCCCAAAACAGAAAATGATATATTGCTACATTTAGGTTCTGTTTTGCTTAGTGTTCACACTCACATATTTGACATTGAACAAAAAGACATAAATAAAAGCTATACAGATAAAAAATTGTGCATATTTTATGATACATATTTGCTATCAAGAACTGCGCTGGAACAAAATCTCCAATGAACTTTCTGAGCCATGTTTTGCCCTGGTTTAACAGGCCTAATGGGTTTTATGGATGTCTTGTGATGTTCTAAAGAAATAAGTCAAAAGAGGCCTCTTGTTACCGTCATCATTCCATGTGATGAACCGAGGTGAAATCACCACAACAGCTCCAGGGGATTACTGATCACAAAATGTTGCATTAATACATGATATAATTGACATATGTGGTCAAACGTGTGTATATCAAGTATTTCATAAGGGCTTTGAACATGTCTCAGCTTCGTTTTAAAACAGAAAATAGCGGTTCTATAATTTTCAACTCAGACCTCACAATGTCAAAACAGCTTTGGAAATATGCCTGTTTTACATATTAAAGCAGGTACGCAACAATTCGACAATTCCTTCTGTCTTTGGTTCATTTAGACATCTTTGGTCTATTTTGCCATATTTCAAATGAACTGCACTCGAGTTTCTTTAGAAGCAAACTGAGACTGACGTCCTCAGGGGGTCTCGGTCTACTTATTCACTTGTTCTAACAAACTAATCAAACCAGCATTTGTTTAATTCACATTAAACCGGCCAAGTCTAAAGATCTAAAAGAGTTCACTATCACAAATATGCAATAACTGAGGAAATCAGGATAGGGCAAATACCTTTTCACAGCACTGCATGTAGTGTGTGTGTGCATATGTGGATAGTTATGAGTGCTGTGTGTGTGTTGCTGTGTATGTATGTGTGTGTAAAATGGATATTTGGAATAGACTGCTTATTTGAGTTATATAACATCAAAGGTTTCAACCTGGGGCCATTCAGTCAGTGCTGTATGTATGATGTGATAGTCGTTCTGTGCCAAAAGACAGACTCCCAACTCAATTACTTCATTAGTTCTACAGAGTAGAGCACAGAAGCTGGGTGTTACTTCACAGTGATGGAGGCGTTATCTCTTAACGAGGGCCATCATGCTGTGAGTGAAGCAGTGATATTGCCACTTTCCTGGCAACCCTGTGTGCTTGTGCTCATGTGTGGTGACACCTAGATGATCAGTGTTCCTCTATGAACAGATCACTGTAACATGAACACATGCTCACCTGCATGAAACCACAAGTGTACAGAGGAGGAAAAAATTAATAATAATAATAATAATAAAATATTATACTCATGGCATCTCACAGTGCTTTACAGATAGGGGTAAAGCTTATAGCAAACAGCTATAGAAAAATTTTAATAAAATATAAGAGTAGTCTAGTACAGAGAGTGCTATATAATAATAAGAGAATAACCGCATGTCATTAGCACAGCTATGAAAAATTATATCATGTTTCTAATGATATTACCTAGAGGTAACATACAAAGAGAAAGGAAAATGCCCTAAAACTAAACCTTGTGGGACTCCACAAAAAATGTTAAAATGTTTTGATTAATTGTTAACATTAAACTTAATTACTGCATATAAGCCTATACCGCACTGCAGCACTATGAAATATTCCTTTTCACTCTGTTATCTTTATGGAACTGTGTCAGGTTTTAGTTATGTAAGGTAAGAATATGCAAATTAAAAACATGCAGATGGCACATCTCTGTGGTATTTACCAGAAAAAAACTCTCACATATACATAAGCAGTCGATCAATAACCATGCACTCACACAGGAAACACAGATATGACGTAATAGGTTAATTAATCTGCAACCTCCACAAGGACAGGGCTGTCTAACAAGTAGACATAAATTCAATGATGCACTATAATGCAATGGAACCAACAGTCTGTCCTGTCTACTCACATGCACATATTACACAACATATGAAGCCTTTTAGTAAGATATTCTATAGCTGTGATTACGCTTCTCTTAATCTAAACACAAACATACTGTCGCTGTCGTAACAGCACCTTTTAACTTTGTTTTTTTTTTTTTTAGCAAAAACACTAGCTTCCCAAGTGTGAACATTTTATGATGAATGATGAATAATAGTGATACATTTATGATGAATAGTAATGATAATTAATATAGTTATTTCATTCTCCTATAAAGTTCTCATTTCAGAGATACAAGATTTTGTTATGACAGCAATGATATACAGTCTTCTATAGATTGCATTGTAATGTACACTGCATCCATGGCAGAGTGAAAGCACCATGTTTGCAGTTCTCCTCTATATTAGATGAATTTAATGTCGAGTGACTAAGCAATTTCTCTGGTTCAGTTAACGTCAACATGGTTTCCATTTTTATTTGCTTTAAATTGGCCTACATGCATATTTTGTTGGTTCTCAAACATGAATGTCTGCACTGAATATCTTTTAAAGTCAGTTTATTACTGAATGAAAAATGTTTGAAATGTGCTTCTTTATGTACTTCTATACATTCATTTGTACAACTGAACATATTAGTCGGTTGGCACAGGTATTAGAGATACTAACAAGTAGTCTGTACTGAAAGTTTGAAGTATGTAGCAACAGTAACTAAAAAATACAGGAGTTTCTTGGAATTTTGCAAGCGATCAACTCGACCTTAAGGACCATGTTGTACCTTTACTTTCACACTGTTTGCACCTTGGGGGGCAAAAATACACATGTACAGTACCTTTTTTACAGTGTTGATTTTGTGAATTCATAAATCTATGTATAAGTCTATACAGACTCAGAATACATTTACTAACACGGCATGCATTCATCTAGAATGGTGTTCATATGTAATCATCCTTTTATGAGATTTCTTTTGTGTTGTTACAGGGCTTTTGGCAGCTTGGACATACTTTAGACTTAAAGGGTATTTTTCCTGCATAATTTAATGGTTAAGATGTAAACAAAGTCATTCAAAGTAGTCTGGTGTGAAATGTTTAGTTCTAGAGAAACTTACAGAGTCAGAATTGTTAACAGTGGTTAATGCTACTAATAGCTTTCCTACACTCTCCGAAATAAAGGTATGAAACTGTCACCAGGGCAGCACCCCTCTAGTCACCGGGGTGGTACCCACAAGAGTACATCTCTGTATCTTTAGTCAGGGAGCATAACTGTACTATAATCCATTGAAATTATATTTTCTCAGTTGTATTGACTCCACACCCCGTCTCGTCTCCAGGCTTTTTATTTTTTTGTTCTGTTTTAAAACATTAGTTTATGAAAAGGTACAAGTATGTACTTTTTTACTGGGAAAAACTTATTTAAGATACACAACTGGACCTTAAAACCACTGTTTTACCTTTGAGCATGAACAAAAAATGAACCTGCACAGAACCTTACCATAACAGTGAATAAAAAGTTACATGTAATGGGTATGAATATGCTGTTTTCCAGTAGTTTAGTTATACGCTTTTGGGGCTAAAATATATATATTTTTCATTTATGCATGCTGGAGGGGTACATGCAGGGTGCTATAAGTCAAATTAGTCCCCAGATGTACCACTATTTTCCCATTATCTACATTAAATATAAAAACTCAGAAGACCCTGGTGGTTTTGGATAATAAATAAAACGGTTACATTTGAGTATAAATCCTGTTCCTATCACCGCCACTGTACAGAAATCTGAGGGAGTAGGTTTCTCTACAATTAAACATTTCACAGCAAACCACTCTGAATGACTTTGCTTACAACCCAATCATTGAATTATGTAGAAATATTGAAAAACCGGTGAAATTTCCCCTTTTAGCACAGCACTATTAGCTCACCACATAGTAAAAACTCCAGACTTAACATCACAACCATAAAACTCAGAAAGAACACTAGAGATGAAAGTAGGAGCTCTCTTACCTCCACCCCAGCGAAGGCAGCGTGCTAGGTCATTCCCAGTGCCCAGCGGCAAGATGGCGACAGGGGGATGACGGGCAAAATTTGCTTTATCTGAGGAGAAATCAGAAACGCAAGAGTATTGTAAAAGGAGTGCCACTACTGTCTAATAAAAGGTAACCAAGTTTGAGCATCAGAAGTCTGATATCACAATTATTTAAGCTGAATGTAATCATTATCCATATTACATTTCACAATAACATTAAGCAAACAAACAAACATTGAGCAGTAAATTGAGTGTGGTTGGCTGAAGCAAATAAATGCCAGTAATACCATTAATACATTAATTGAAACATGTTGTGGGACAGAAAACGTCTAACCTGGTGCTGTAACATGTTTAGAGGGCAGCACAAGCAAAGTTTATTTATTTGTTAGCTATGTAGGTAATTGTAAAGTTTTAGCATGTATGCTAGCAGAATGAGTTTTCTTGGTTTTATTTTCACTCTGAAGAAAAAATATAAGCTTTGCTTGACTACAGCTGATTCTGCGTAACTGAGACATATGTATGAGAGCGTGAAAGGCCTGTATTGTACACAACCCCAAGGCAAATTTGATTAGCTGGTTTAAAATAGTGTCAAAATGGTCCTGATTTAGCATTTTATCCCTTAGTCCAGTAACAGCAAGCCTAATCTGCTAGGCAGTGGCATTAACAGTATTTTTTGTCCCTTTGCTGACAGTCCCTGTGTGGCTTGCTCCACAGGGTCTGTTGGGATCTTGCTTTTGGGACCTTGCTCTGTTCCGCATGGCAGGCTTTACTGCCTAACCAGCAGGGTTCTCTGACTAATCATCCTCAGCCGACAGCAGCCATTTCCTAATGCTTGTCAAATTCATGTGGGTGAGCAGAGCTGATCTAGAAACAGATTAATTTAACTAACTCAGCTTTGATCATTAAAGACTAAGCAGTGAAGCTGCTCCTAAATAAGCTTCCATACAGGCTTCTTTCCCCTCCTCTTCCACTAATGGACCCCCACTGGCTCTCATGGTGTAAGAGCTGGATAAGCACTGATCTAGGATCAGGTGTCTCTTCCCTTCACCATGCATTCTAGTTATGAGGTCATGAGCCCAAACTGATTCCAAATCAGCACTTAAAGGTACTATCTACCATTACCCACACAGGCTTCTCTCCAGTGCTTATCCATTAACATCAGCATGGCTGTCAGCAGCGAAAGAGGCAGCCCATTATCTCTCCACCGTTATCTTCCATTCACTCATATGAAAGAGGTCACAGATGAGCGTACACGCTTCCTAGACATGATAATTCATGCACAATAGCCTTTTTAGAGGCCCATTAAATGTTACCATGATTATATGTGCATTTTTTTGGCAATTTATCAGACCTTCAGTATTCATATAATGAGCCACAGTCAAATCAGACTCAGTAAAACAAATGTGGGGCATTTTTTTGTTGTTAAAAGGTCAGTCTTGTTTTTGGAATACATCATTTTCACAAGTTGATTCAGCAGTACCACCTATTTGATTCCAAAGTGAAGATGTATGCAATACAATACAATGCAATATTCAGAGCCTTGGATATTACTGATCCAAACTTACCAATGCAATCCAAAATCCAGCCCACCGTTCCATCCCCTCCACAGGCCAATACTCGGAAATCAGGCACGTCACGGAAAAAGTTGAGTCTGAAGGACAAAAAAAGTGGGAAGTCAGGGTCAGTGGTGTTTGAAATATAAGTTTTGCATGGGAGCTTGTGTAAGTGGGCCTTTTTCCTATATGACCCTCCAACACTGAGAAACGCTGGGGACCTCTGGAGATACAGAACTACAACTTTATATTTATGGGTCAATGACATGATGTGCACTTTTTGTGTCTGGGTCCATTATTTATGCCTGCCAAAGTCCAAAAATGTCAGGTGGGGCAATCATTTAACCTTATATGCAGATTGAATGAACTATTAAAATAAGCTAAATAAAAACCTAAATACAAGTTTAAAATGATAAAGTAAGGTATTCATTTTGTTTTGACTGGAGCTGGAACTGCACCATAAAAAGCTCCATGTGACCTTCATAGTGCAATGCCAAGGTCAGTAGCCCTTTCCTAAACGCTTTGATTGATTTTTTTGAGTCATGGCTGGTTCAGTTCGCCAAGTCAGGTGGTCTGACCACAAGAAAAACATGAAAATGTGTTATTACTTGTGGCGTCTGCCTGTGGACGGGCCGAGCCACGCTGACTGGGAACCAGTTACACACACACAGAGGCCAAACACGGGTGCAAAGTTGGACTTTTATTTAAACATGTAACCAAAACCAAAAACTAAACTTAACTGAAAACACAGCCTGCTAAGGCTGTTTACAAGTTCAAACAGAATTCTCTCCAGCCGGGATTCTCTCCACAAAGTTCTCTCTACTTACTGGCTTGGAGAGCCTCAGTTTTTAAAGTGTCATGGCTCCTCCCCAAATCAGTCCAGGGTATTTCCTGCCTTCTGCCCAAGCACCCCCAACCCAGGAGGATAAACAGCTTAGATAATGTGTGTATGTGTGTGTGTGTGTGTGTGTGTGTGTGTGTGTGTGTGTGTGTGTGTGATGTATAAACTTGAGTTCAAGGACAAAGGTTTACACAAGTGTCCAAGTACAAAGACTAGCTTACATGTGTTTTCAGTAGCAGTAAATAACTTTAAAATATAATATTTTTATTTGTTTATTCTTGCATTACCTGATATTTTCTAGGTGTTTAAACTTGATTATCCTATGTAAAAATGAATTTATACCTTTATAAATGCTATGAAACAAATATCAGTACATTGAAAAGATTTTGTAGATCAGGCATGACACAATGCGGAACTTCAGGGCCAAAGTCCTGTGGAAATTAGTGTTTAGCCTCATCTAACACTCTGAATTCAGTTCACAATAGCCTTACTAATTAGCTGACGAGCTGAATCAGGTGTCCTAAATTACAGCTGGATCTGCTTGGGGGTGGGGTACACCCTTTAAAAATATGATTCATGGAAGAAAATGAATTGGCACATAGCTGTAGAATTATGTGGATGTTCTTTAAACTTTAAAAAGGTTCTTCACAATTGTACGTAATATATAGTCATGGCTTTGTAAAGAACCATCCTCTGAAAGATTCTTTAGGGTTCTTTTACAGGACCACTCCAAATAACCCTTTTTGGCAGGGTTCGGAACATTTCTGTTTACCAGAGGATGGATCTTCATAGAGAAATCAGATATTGCCTGGAGATCCTAACTCGGGCAAGATGCCGACTGCAGAATGATGCACAACTTTAGTTTTAATAGACCACTAAAGCCTTACTCTCTTAGGCTCAGAGGCTGTGAATTAACATTTGGTATGGTATTTTCATTCACACTAAAGCAAACATAACCAGAGAGTATAATGGCATTTGCATAATTTCTAAAATACAATTATTTTGTGTACTCATAACTATGAAATGCAGCTTCATACACAGAAAATGGCGAAATTAAAAATGTATTCGTGATAAAACTATAATACATTGTTTGACGAAGCCATTATTAATCCACTGCTCTAATTCCCTTGCTCTGGCCCTATAAGGTGAAATAAGCTACGTCACACAGCCGCCCAAGCATCTCTTCACATCTTTCTCTCTGAATGGCCTCTTCAAAACAAGCGCAGCTCTGGTCGTGACTGGAGATGTGTTGGGGTGGGGGGCTCTAGGACAGAATAGGTTGACTGCTCTCCTGTGTAAGGAATATACCTTTTGTTCTCCTTTTTTCTGAATGGAATGCTCTATTGCACAACTCAGCCAGAGGTACAGAATGTACTCAAGTGAAGTGTGTATGTGTGTGTGTGTGTGTGTGTTTGTGTGTGTGCATTTGTGTGTGGGCGTATGAGAGCACACACAGGTCTGCATCAGTGGAGGTGATAGAGGACTAAAAATCAGGCAGCGTTTTCATTATGTATTCCTCTGAAGTGCACTACTGTGTCCATCTGTGTCACAGATTCAAACTAAAATTTAAATAGGACCACAATAACATGTCGATATAGCCCCTACAGTATTTTTACAAAAGTGTCACATATACTGTTTTCATTGTAGGGGTTAAACTGAAGTGAATGCATAATATTTTGAAGGTGCACTATAGTTAAAAACAGAACTAAACAATTTATAGATAAACCTGTGGTCTGTACATGTAAGCATGTATCAGTTTCTCTGGCTTGGCAAAAACGGTGCTGACCGTTGTTTCACATCTGAATTTCTCAAGTCATTTGTCTCATATGTGCGTCTTATACAATCAAGCTTACATCTCAAAGCATCAGACTCTGCCGGAGTATAGTAAGGTCATTTATGCTGTGAGTAGCTGCGGTTGAGCTGTGGATTTCTCCCCTTTGTTGAAGCCAAAGGCCGCGAGACCCCTTTGCTGCATGATTCAACTGACCGATGGAGGTGAAATGCAGGCAGGGCTAGTGGACACACTAAAGAAGCATGGCTCAGCTGTTGAGGTAAGTTGCTAAGATTAGCGTGTTTTACACTATTTGTATGTTATCCAGTGTATCTGTGACGTATCAGTGAAACCAATAACTTAGGAAGAATTCCAGTTGGTTTATCACTTATTACCACTGCCTTTCCACAAAATACTGGTGGTACAGCTTTCCATCTACTGGTGCGCATGCATTTAAGTGCCAGTATCAGCACCGATACCAATACTGTAACGGTGAAACCTTGTCTGTGTCCTTCATCTACTTATTGATCAGCTGTACTTATGTTGACTTACCCTACTGTGGGTCCTCCACGCTCCAGACTGTACACCTGTCTGGGGTTAAGTAGGTACTGGAACTTCCGCAACACCCTGATGGGGAAAATACAGAAGTGGGATTGATAATGATGAATGCAAAGATTGACAGCTGTTGAGATAAAACAACTGTAACTATATAAAAGTAAGCAATGGTAGAGACAAGAAGAGCGATGAGTAAGTCTGTGAGGGTGACACACCACACATGTGCGCACACACACAATGTTTAGACAGCTTTCAGTAACCTTGACAAGTAGGTACTGTATAAAATGATAACTGAAAGCTCCACAATGCCCTTCACTTCTAATTTTGTTAGCTTCCGCTGGCCTATGCTGCATAACAGTAGTGGAAAAAGGACGGAGGAAAGAGGTAAATACAGAGCGAGAGTGAGAGAGTCTTGAAGTCTGAAACAGAGAAAGCTTTTAGTCTGAAGCATTACTCATTATGTTGGGGGGGGGGTGGTAATTTGAGCACTTATAACCACTGAAAACACCATTCATTCACTATTCAAAGAATATAAGGGCAGAGTCAAGAGCCTAAAACTACCAAGTAGGCTTTCAACATACTGAACAGGGTGAAGGAAGTGGAAAAATACAATTGGGCAGCAAATTCAGTGATGACCACTTCATTTCCTTATTTGCATCAAAGGAACCATCCAAACAGTGTTCTTTTTTGGATCTAGAGCAGTTAACACGTCTTTGTGTGAGCTCAAGTCTAATAATAGGGAATAATCGGGCCATTATTGGTATTTAAAAGCGTGTTGCTATGGTGACGCTACTGCTGGATCCCAAACTGGTCCCCTGGCGCAGTGAGGATGTGGGGTGGGCGGTGAGAGCTGCAACAACACCTACATTCATCCTTCTTAAAGAGCAGCGCTGCCTCCTGTTTGCTTTGATGGTATTTAGGACGGTGCTGACAAACAAGCATAATAAGAGAACGCTGTTTTAAGAAAGTAGACATGCTGACCACCAAATGGTTCTGAAGATTAGAAAGAGAATGCTCGAGTATTGCTAAAAAGCTTTAGAAACATATGATCTTTGAGAGAACTGAGCAACATAGGAATACACACAAGAATACTCACATTCCTCTGACAACATACAGTACTGTAATGCAATGTGGATAAACCTTTCCTTTCCTTCTGGTTTCAGTGTGACAGCATAGTGACATTTGACATTTATACAGTTGGTGTAGTTTATTGGTCTGAGCACCTTCATGGTAAAAGTTGCAATGCTAGCTTTTCAAACTCCTACTATCAATAGTAACAAAGTCTACAATACAGACCAAAAAAATAAATCTATGGGAAACCAAAGACATGACATTAATAAAAAGACAAAAAGCTCACAAAAAGCATGATTCGAGAACTTAATGAAGACTGTTGTGGCACCAGGAAAGCACTTTAAAGACAGAAATCCTCAAAATGTATGACCACCAACACATTATTGCTATTAAAAGTGACATTTTTGCCAGTAAATGTAGACAAATTACAACACTTTTTCCAAACAAGTTGGGATGCTGTGTAAAATGTAAATAAGAACAGAATGCAATGATATGCAAATCATGTAAACTCTATATTTAATTGAAAAAGAAACATATCAAATGCTGAATCTGAGAATTTATTACTTTTTGAAAAATATATGACCAATAATGCACTGTAAGTGTTTGGGTACTGAGGAGACCAATTGCTGTAGTTTTGAAAGTGCAATGTTTTCCCTTTTTGCTTGATATAGGATTTCAGCTGCTCAACGATTCGGGGTCTCTTCTGTCGTAATTTTTGTTTCATAATGCACCAAATGTTTTCAGTGGTGACAAGTCTGGATAGCAGGAAGGTCAATTAAGCACCTGGACTCTTTTACTACAGAGCCATGCTGTTGTAATACGTGCAGAATGTGGTTTGGCATTGTCTTGCTGAAATAAGCAAGGCCTTTCCTGAAAAAGACGTTGTCTGGATGGCAGCATATGTTTTCAGAACCTGTATATATCATTCAGCATTAATGGTGTCTTCACAGATGTGCAAGTCACCAATGCCATACGCGCTAATGCACCCCCATACCATTTTGAACTGTGCACTGATAACAAGCCGAGTGATCTTCAGCCTGGAGGATGCAGTGTCCATGATTTCCAAAATAATTTAAAATTTTGATTCATCGAACCACAGGAAACTTTTCCACTTCCCCTTAGTTAAATGAGGCTCAGGCCCAAAGAAGGCAGCAGCATTTCTGTATCCTGTTTATATATGATTTCATCTTTTCACAATAAAGTTCTTGCACTTGCAGATGCAGCGATGAACTGCGTACACAGACAATTGTTTTCAGAAATGTTTCTGAGCCCATTTTACGTTCAGAAATGTTATTCTTGAATTGTTGTACTATTTGCTTGCTTTCACAGAGTGGTGAACTCCTCCCCATCTTTACTTCTGAAAGACTCAGCATCTCTGAGATGCTCTTTTTATACCCAATCATGTTACTGACCTGTTGCCAATCAACCACCAGGTGTGTTTTTTTTTAGCATTACACAACTTTACCAGCCTTACTTTCCCAACTTTTTTTAAATGTGTTGCTAGAAACAATTTCAAAATGGTCATGTATTTTTGAAACACAACAAATTTTCTACATCTGATGTGTTGTCTTGGTACTATTTTGAATTAAATATATGGTTACATACATTTACATTTTACACAGCGTCTCAATGTTTTGGAAATGGAGTTGTACATGTTTTCTTTATTTTAAAAAGTGAAAATAAGTTAACATATCTTTCACAGGAAACAACTTAAGAAATTATATTTTTCTGCTGATTTTAGTACACATTTTTTTTTTTGCTGAATTTAACATATTGGAAAAAATAAAAAACATAAAATATGAAATGTGCCATAACTTTTCTGCATTTTATATGAAATTTTTGCCAATATGTTAAATTCGACAAATATACAGTGTGTGTATTCTGCACATGACTGTACGGCATACATTTTACACATACATGTAGTGTTTGTATTCTTAGTAAAACATTGTACATACTATAAACCTCCATTAAATGTTCGGTAATTATTGTGCTATTAATTTTTATATTGACATATGCCTAAGCGAGAGTAATAAGGTTGTCTGGTGGACCACAGCATATAAGGATAAGAGTTAAATGGAAAAGACACCCACCTTTCACCCTGCCGACCACCGCTCTTAGGGTTTACCAACACCAGCAGAGGATGTGTCCCAGGGAGAGGGGTGATCTGAAACAGGAGAAAAAAAAACTATTTTGTAGCAATATTACAGAACACACTCATTAGAAAAGCAAATCTAAAGAACCAAACTTAAAAATGAAAACCTGTCAAGCTTTATTGTCTACATTTGGGGTAAGGGGGCATTGTCTACTGTTTACATTTGGGGTAAAACTGATTTGCCATTGAACTGTCTCTTTAAAGTGCATCTCTTTGAGAGAAAGAGAGATCACATGACTTGAGCCTGCACTCTGACCTGCAGTGCTTGGCCATCTCCCGTGAATTTGAAGCACTGGCTGGAGTCATCGGGACTGGTGCTGGGGGACGACTCGCCTTCTCCTCTTTTTACTACAGAGTGACGATCCTGCTCAAGAGCACGGGCAGCATATTAAAGATACAGAAGCACAGACTGGGGTGTAAAAGTAGCATCCAAACACAGCCCATAGACTGCACAGTATGAGTGTACAGTGGGATTAGAATACAGTCCTGGAAGATCACAGTACTGCAGATTTTACAAAAATATCTCTGATTTAACACAAATGATGCAACTCATCAGCTAATTACAGCTAATTTCAACTCAATTTCAGCATTAAGCACTGCTGTGTCCTGGCCCTGCAGAAGGACTTTGGCATAGGACTCTTGTAGTACAAAAGGGCAAAAGCTAAAGTGAAAGAAATACCATTGAACTGACCAGTACGACAGGGCAGATGTAAGAAGGCAGGAGGGTGTGGTCCTTCAGTGCTCCACCATCACACTCCGGCTTCACATTAGATGCACACTTGTTATGAAGCTGTAGATAAGAATAGATATCAGGAGGGAAGAGACTCACCAAAGGACTATAACAATCTGTATACCCTCTTCCTGACTCATACAGAAACACAATACTAGTGAAAAGAACTGAATCTAAATATGTGAGTGTAACCTTATAAGCATTGTGTAGTCGTGAGAACAGAACTGATGGGATAATATTTCAGCTTTGACACAGATATCCCAGAACAGCCATTAGTCATATCCATTAGGAGAGGAATAGCTGTAAGCAAAGAATGTGAGGACTAATCTCCATCACCACTGGCTACCATCAAGCAGGATATTACAAAGTCAAGGAAATAATGCCACCAAGAGGAAAAAGTACATATTACAATAGCTTGCATATTACTGAACAGACTCATCCATCTACAGAATTAAAGCTTGAAAATATGTAATTTTTACATATCTCACAGATTATTTTTCAGTATTAATTATCTGTACTAAATCCAAACTAACATGCCTCTTCTACCTTATATTAGGTAAACAGAATTAAATGTGGGTACTGTTCATAAATTCAGTTCACATAATCATTGAGCATACGGGTCAGTCACTTAACAGTGCAGAGCTATTTTTCTATATGGTCTGTAATGAATGTTCATTTTCACACTTGGAAGTGAATTAGACAAGAAGGTTTATGTAAAGCTCTGAATGACCACTAGAGGGCAATGTTTACTCACAGTAATTTGACACCAAACACAATGAAGTCCAGTAAGGCCCTGATAGCACTTGATACCGCGGTGACATCGGTCACACTTGGTTGGCGAGTTGCCCTCCATCCATACATGCTGCATAGCCTGCAAGGGGGAAGAGAATATTACACTTTACAACAGTACACAGTTTAGCAAAGAAGCTACCTCAGATTCAATGAGTAATGATATAATGAAAGCTGCAAAAAATCAGAGCCACAATGACTCACTTAACTTGCGATATATCCATATAGATGTTTACATACAAAAAAAATATAAGGTAAGACTTTACTTGAACCCTGTTACATAACATTAACATAACCATGCCATAAACGTCCTGGCAGATGTCATTTGCTGTTATGAGCTGTCATGACAGATTTTTTTCAGTACTATAACTGTTACCAGTACTGATAATTGTAATGACAGATAAAAAGGGTTCTATATAGCACCAAAAAGCATTCTTCTATTTAATCATGCAAAGGGTTCACACAGGGATACACAGAGGGGATGACAACATTAATGGTTATTCCTGTGCTTCTTATAGACAGAGACACAGATTTCTTTATAATAATTCTTTATACTCAAGTTATGTACATTATGTAACGCCAGATGACTGCAGTACATTATGTAAGGCCAGATGACTGATAAACATTTGAAGAGTTTGGTTCCAAAATGCTTTAATGATCACTTTAAAAAAATACTTTTTTCATGATATATGTTGTTGGGAGTGGGCTTTACACACACAATATCAAATCTATATCATGATGAATAGCACTTTCATTAAAGGAATAAAAATGTGTTTTCCATTGTATGTTAGATGTTATTCTTTTCTAAAACTTGCTGCATACAAAATTGTTACAAATGGATATACAGTTTTTGGAATGGAACTCTTTATTTTCTCCCAAGCCAATTAAACAATGCCTGAAATCTGTTGTGTTCTTAACTAAATTCACAAAAATATTTCTATGATCTGCGAAATGACAGATTTGAAATTTTTGTTGCTCCTGGCATTATCATGATTAACTATTAAGCTAGATTAGTATATCATAAACTCATCTTAATATATCATAATCAGAGTCTGTTGTACTGAAAAACAAGCCTCTGCTAACATCATTGCTACCTTCAGCCACTGTCTCTGATTTACAACAAACCAACTCTGAACCCTTCACATACATTAAAAGTGCCTACTAGATGTTGATACATTGCTGTGAGGATTTGACTGCATTCAGCCACTAGAGCTGCACAGAGTGAGGTCAGCTGCTGATGCTGGATGATTAGTTGTGGTTTCCAAAGGTATTGGATGGAGCTCCATCATTCCAGAGAATGCAGTTCCACTGCTCCACAGCTCAATGCTTGAGGTCTTATCACCCCTCTAGCTCAACCCTGGCATGGGTCATGGTGACCTTAGGCTCATGTGCAGCTGCTCCAGAGCATCCTACTGTATTGGGAATGCTTTTCTATGGAGATCATACAAGCTGTTTGTGCATAATCGAACACCTGTGTCAGCAACGGGTGCACCTTAAAGTAACTGAATTCCCTAATTGGAAGAGGTGGACATAGACATTGTGTATACAGGAGCGGACATGACACAGATGTGAGCCAGACCTTTATGCTTAAACTTACATTAAAAATAAATCTGAAACATTAAAGATCCAAGTTGCCTTAACCAGCTTTTCCAACTAGGCTGCATTTTGGTCCATGTCAGCTCCCACTGATAAAGCAGAGCCAGCTAATCAGCAGCAAAAATAAGGACATAAAACTCCACATATATGTTCATTTTTGTGAACTGAAGTCATTTATTGCTCTTCTCTCTTTCAAGCTCACAGAGGTTGATTCTCATTCTTAAGTAAGACCTGTTCTATTCAGGCATTCAGAGTGGTTTGATCTAAATTGTGTCACTGTACAGAAACTTACCCAGTTAGAACTGTTTAGAGTGGTGATAGGAACTAGACATTTGAAGCATTTAATACACCTAAAAGGTTCCTCACAGCAATGTATTACACAAAATGATTACAAACATATTACCAGACTGTTTTACAACAGCTTTGAGATAAGGTTTTGGTCTAAAACATACATTGTAATTAGATTCAAGGTGGTGAGGTACATGTTTGGTGTTGTAAGGCAAAAACAGTCCCCAGTGAGAACTTCTTACAGATTTATCACTATTTTATCATTATAAACATTACAAATAAAAAATCAGAAGACATATAGGTTTACTAATCATTTTGGGTAGTAAATAAAACTGCTATTTGTTACAACCTTTGGTTTTCGATCACCACCACTACAAAGAAATCTGTGTTTTTATGTTTCTCTGCAAATCATTTCACATCAAACCACTCTTAACAATTGAATTACCTGAATTATGCTGCGATTTAAAAAGACTCTCAATTAACCACCTTGACACAGATCAAAATGTAGTGTGGATTTACCAAGGTAAATGTTTTTTAATTCAATGGAAACATATTAACTCAAAAACATATTTGTTACACTAGCATATGCCCAAAGTATTGTGACTCTTTTTCTCCTGCTGTTTGTCATTTCATTGGTATTTGTCTCACATGTTTTACTTCATTTTCTGTATAAATCACCTTAACATTTTGTAACTAAAATGAAAAGCGCTATATAAATAATGATGTATCTATATTATACAACAAACATATCAACAATCAAACAGCAATCCTTAGCATGTATTCATTACTAGCATGATTTGATATTGAGTTGCTCAACTCAATATTAAATCTAGTATTAATACAGTCCTATACTGAAGGTGTTGAACAAATGGAGAGAAACACCACTGCACTATGAATTATACTGATGGACTATGAAAGGAGGACGCAAATGTGATAATTTCACAGTACACAAAAGGTCTGATCACATTCTGACCATTAGACATTGTTGTAGTTGTATAAGGAAGCCAAGCAAGCCAAGGAAGCCAAGTCTGGGAGATGATTCCAGAAAGCTTTGATTGAATCCCTAAGACAAATTTAGAGTCGAACTACATAAGCAGTGCTGCGTGATCTCCCCCTATGCCTCTCTCCTTCTGTACAAAGCTACTGGTCACTGCACACAGGAAGTTCTCATAACCTTCCTGACACGTTAGTGGAACATTTGTTTGGGGTTAGCTACAGTGTTCAAAACTCAGACGTCAATTGGAGCAAAAAAAGGGCATTGTGAGATAAAAAACATGGAAAAAGTACTCCTCAGAGGATGCATTAACCATTTAAAAGATAAGCTCTTAACCATTTTCTATTACATTTGCATGGCATTTTTTGCACGCATACATACTGACATCATTCAGCAATGATTGTTTAGGGGATCTTTAAAAGCATGCTTAAAAGAAGCTGCTTGCACTTCTTAGGGGGTTAATGCATTTGACTGACTAGTTAACCCCTTTCTGCAGGCCACCTAAATGTCAGATGAGTCAGTTTCCATTCTGTATATTAGAATTTCCATTCTGATATACAGAATGGAAATTGACTCATCTGACATTTTTTATTAATATAATCAAATAAAATAGTTAAATTCAGAACATAATTAAAATGTTTTTTTAATTATAGTTTAATTTAAAAAATCATTCAAGATTGAACGGAGGGACCTCCAAATCAGGCTTAAATTGCATTTTATCACTACTATGAAAGAGGTTTAAACATGAGACAGCGATTTGAGATTTGAGAGAATGTGAAAGACTGACATTTCAATAAAGATCCTGAAAATGAGACATATATTAACAAACAGAAAACTGTTTTTCTCTTTCACATTGTGGTAATCTTTGTGTGGAGTGTTGTATAGCTATGAGTGTTTGAAAACAGCCCAAACTAGCCTCTCCTTCATGATGGAACAATGAAAAAAGCATGTTTTAGACAGTTTGAAACAATGTGAATGCTCCCTTATGCTGTCTGGTTAAAGCACTGCTGAGCACTAATATCAGTGTTATGGCACTGATCCAAAGTGCATCAAAGAGCTTAGAAGAGGTTCATCCAGACACTAACATTTCTACACAGCATGTGGGATAACAGTATTTTGAAAGGGTTAATAAACACTATGACATTCTCATATCTGGGAATATTACCCACTTCTACAATGGGGGATGAAATAATATGAGCCCTAACAAACCTCTAGCAGACTGTGAAAGTAAGACCGTACGGTGGTACTCACGTTGGTGTGTCTGCGGGACTTGGCATAGGTGCTGATGCAGGCAGCAATGTCTTTGGACACACAGCGCTCATGGACTGTGTACTTGCATACTGCCAAAGATAAAATGAAAAAACAGTGTGAGAGTGGATTCTGATACAGATAGGTGACAAATTCAATGAAAAAAACAACAGAAATGGACTTAGTAAGGTGTTGGGCCACCACAAGTTGCCAGAACTGCTTCAATACACCTTGACCAAACTCGATGGATAGAACATTCTTCTAAAAGATATTCCCTCAATTTGTATTCTGATGATGGTGGTGGGAGCACTGTCTAACATATATCCCCCATAGGTATTCAATTGGGTTGAGATCTGGTAACCTTCTGTTGAAGGTCATAGTATATGATTTTCATTATTTTTATACTCATTAAATCTTCCTGTGGCCCTGTGGATAGAGATATTGTCATCCTGGAAGAGATCACTACCTTCAATATAGAAATGTTTCATTGTAGGACACAGGTGATCGGACAGAATAACTTTGTATTGATTTGCAGTGACCCTTCCCCTCCAATCCAATCAACGCCAGCACAATGCATCCCACAGCAAAAATGAGCCAGCCGACTCCCTCACTTTAGGGGTCAAGCATTCAGGACAGTTCTGTTCTTTAGTGTTTGCAACACATGCATTCACCCCTTTGTGGAGAATTTGGTGAAGGATGACTTATCTGACCGTATCACTTTTTTCCACATCTTCAGACCACAATTTTCTTATAGATCTAAATGCAGATGTTATGTTAACCTTTAAAAATAGGTGCACCAAGAGAAGAATTTAAAATAATCATTATCAACTGGCAACTAATCATTGGTGATTCATGGAGAAGGTAAATGTTAGTCTATGACTTATTTGTTTCAACTGAGTACTTAATTTAAGTGTTATGACTACACAAATTTAGACATATTTGCACAGGCACAGATAGGCTAAACAAAAAGACAGACCATTTTTACACTTTTTTAGTGACAAATGCCACAATTAGGAATGGGTGAATACAGGGAGCAAGAAAAAACATGAGAAGAGTACAAAACAAGTAGGCGTAGCTCAATAAACTTGTTAACTCATGTTTGTCATTTCCATTACTTTAAAAAGGCCTATTTAAAAAGATCTTGTTTCTCTACCACAGTGGTTCTTAATCCTGGGACTGTATTCAGGAGTCCTGATCAAGGATCTGTCCCTGTCAGTAATGTCATCATAAGTAAGAGAGAAATCTGTTCTTAGATCAGCTTCATTAATATAAGCTCTGGCCCTGGAAGTCTCCTGCCCTGTACATTTTATTGTTTTCCCTGCTCTATTGTTCATGAACTTATACTTGAATCAGGCTTGAGAACCACTGCTTTACAATATCATCACGGTATCTCACTGTATAGACCAGACTCTTACGTGAGCAGCAAAGGCCTTGTTTCCGCACTCCTAACAGCATTGTTTGACAGTAGTTACAGTACGCTGGCTTGTTGAAGTGCTTCAGTCTCCAAACATGCTGCCCATCTTCTTGTACATTCTGAGGATAGATGTTTGAGGACAGAGAGAGAAGAAGAGAAGTCAATTTCAACTACTACTAAATCATTATATAAACTTCATTCAATTATTCCATGAAATGGAGTAATATCAGTATACATAGACTTTGTAACCTCAACATAAAGTTCAATTTTTAGTGGAACAAAATTGAAACATCTCAGTGCAATTTATTTGAGGTTTATTGGAATGGAATTCTCTTCGAGTCAAAATAAACAGTTTTCATTCATTGAAATGTACTTTGGTTCATTTTTGTCAATTTCACATAAACAAGTTATTTAAAGACAACACAATTCGTTTATTTAATATTTTCAGTTTGTAAGTCCAATATCCTGTTGGTTCTTTTTTTTTTTGCGGGCAGAGTCCAGTGCTTTCAGTAACCCAGACAGGGACACAGACTACAGAAATATCATGATTTGATTACCACTGCAGCAGACACACACACAACCACACATACAGAGATACAGAGACATACACAGTCACACACTGAAACTCTGACTCACCGTCTCCATGCCCAGCAGTACCAGTAGAGGTATGGTTGTCATGCCTCCTCTAATCCACTCCTCTAGTGTGACTGTTCCATCCCGGTCATAGTCGATCTCCTCCATCATCTCCTTCAGGATCTACAGTAGAACCACCATGGTAACATTTTCTTTTACATTTATTACAGAAAAACACAAAGTATTTTACGTACAATAGCTAGAACATTCATCAGTGTAATAGCTAGAATTACACATTTCAGTGTAATTTAGACTGTCTGCAACATACCATCATATTACTCAAATTAATTGTCTAGTAATTTGGAGTTTGTACACCACATTTACATGGTTAATGCCCAGAACTTAGATGACTGTAAAGGAAAACACTACCAACCACAATTATGTGCAAGAGATGGATCACACATCTTAAATATACAAAACTCCCCAGAAGAGCATTTCTTCCTGCTCCACCTGCAATGTTCAAAAATGACTGTACCCCACTCTTGAGCTCCATATGTTCACCTCATTAGCAATGTTTTGGTCTGACGGCTTCCATCGAGGCAGCAGGGTCTGACATCTTGTCAGGGGCCGTCTGCTCAAAACGCTGGTGATTAAACTCGACATATGGAGCTTGTGCGCTCAAGCGAGATGTCTTTTTTCAGTATTTTTAAATGAGCTCTCTCAGTACCTTGCAAAAATGATTCGAATCATCTTTCATTCATTGCAAATAATCTTAAGGACACATGAGCTCCACACACAGGCTGATATATAGACCCATTCCGCTTACCGGCCGCAGCTCTGTTGAATCCCATTCCAGGTATTCTGCTACATGGACCATCTGATTGATAATGCGGTCAAGTTCCTGAGTGGACAGTCATGACAGGGTTATATGCTGCAGGAAACAGGGCTCGGCAAAATACTTTGAAGAAGTAGTGATGACTATTCAGCTATTCACTGAATACATTGTCCTAAATGTTTTCAGTAATGCATTATGTTACCATACATAGAAAAGTAACATATTCAGAATACATTAGAACACATTTACAATACAATTCCAATACATCTTGGTAAAGCACACAGGGGGGAAAATGTTTTCTTTTACTTAATTCATAGTGTTCCTTGTTGTTATTTCATGCGTTAGGGTTAGAATCACTGAAATGAAATTCCACAATTTTTTTTTCTCTCACTGCCTGTGTCTGTCTACTGCTGTTTCCACAATCCCCAAGCAGGAGTCCAGTACAACACTGATGCTAAACTTTTTATTGCAAATAGGTCCACTTTTGAGGAGTCTAAATATCCCTCAAAAGAGCTCAGTAATTCTGAGATAAATAACACGTCACATTGATTTATCAGGCTGCTCGGGCTTTAGCAGGAACTTGTTTGTAAAGAAGCCATTAATTGGTCCTCCTTAGAATTTGTCTAATGAGCATGTCTGCTACACGCCAATTAATGAATGATGTTAACAATGATTTTGTTATTTGATAACCTATAAACCTTTAAACCTTTACATAATTAATTTAGCAATTACTTAGTTGCATAAAAACAAATATTATTATTAAAATAATTATGAAAGATTTGTCTTTGTCCTGTTTTAAATTAGTTATTTACAATCTTGCTAAGGTGTGATGCATATACTTTTCCTTAATGCTTAGTTCATCATTTTAAAATGGTAAATATATACTATTTAAACATTAATAATCATTAGATGGATATTATAAAATGATGACGTATAATAATAATATTATAATGTAATGAATAATGTATTTATTAATTTTTTTTGTACAAGTTATTGCTCTTAAATATAACATTTATGGAAAATACTTACAGCTTTAATTATTTATATGTATTATATTAGTAATGATTGACAGGGTAGCATTTATTAATGCACAAATAACAATTATAAAATTTTTAACAATCATTGACCCCTTAAGTGGCCAGGGCCCACTGACAGGCCCAAAGTTTATTACACACTTCTATAACTTAAGAACAGCTCAGCCAGTTTGCATTGAAGTCCCTGTAGTTACTGAAAGATAGGTCTGAGTATGCAATAAACCTGGGATTTTAAGGGGTTAACAAACTATTAGATAATGGCATAGGAGCCTGTTATTATGAAGCATTGCATTTTGTCATATTTTGATATTTTGTTTGACATTTATGTAAAAAATGGATGAAGTAGAGAGAGCAACAGAGGTCATGGGTTGCTAACGATCCAAAGTATACAAAAACCCAAATTCAAAAAAGTTGAGACAGTAGAAAAATGTAAATAAAAACAGACAGTAATATATGCTTATTATATGTTTATTCTCAATTTGATGCCTGCAACATGTTTCAAAAAGGCATGTTTACCACTGTGTTACCTCACCTTTCCTTTTAATAACAGTTAATAATTGTTTGGGAACTGAGGATGCCAATTGTTGTAGTTGTGAAAATGGAACTTTTCCCATTCTTGCCTGACAACACCTGAGCTGCTCGACAGTTCAGCGTCTCTGTTGTTGTATATTGTACTTTATAATGCGTCTCACGTTTTCAATGGGAGACAGGTCTGGAGTGCAGGCAGAGCAGTCTAGCATCTCTTACTCTCTTACTACGAAGCTACGCTGTTGTAACACGTGCAGAATGTGGCTGGCACTGTCCTGCTTAAACAAGAAGGGATGTCCCTGATAAAAGACGTTATCTAGATGGTAGCATATTGTAGCATCAGCAAAGAAGACGTGGGAAGCAAAGGCGAATGCTCTTTTATGAAACATCCAGCAAGGGTTAACTGACATGGCTGGGAAGCAGGCAGGTCACGTCTAACCGTACAATCTCTGCCTCTTTGCATGCCAGCTTTGCATGGCCACGGCTCTCTTACTCCTACTGCAGCGCAGCCAGAGGCAGGACACCACAATGTGTTCTTCCAAAATGCGTTTGTATCCCTTGACATTAATGTTGCCTTCACAAATGTGCAAGTTAAAACTTGCAAGTTAAAACTTTAAACTTTAGGCTGGTAATAATCTGAATGGTCTGTTTCCACCTGGGCTTGGAGAACACAACGCCCATTATTTCCAGCAATAATTTAAAAGGTGGATTCGTCAGACCACAGCACATGTTCTCACCTTGCATCAGTGCATCTCAGATTAGCTTTAGCCCAGAGAAGTTGGTAGCGTTTAACCTTTAAATTTCTTGGAATTGTGCACTGAGAAACGCTGTTCTTAAATTACTTGACTATTCACTTCACTCTTACAGTTTTTCACAAATTAGAAACTGAGCCTTTTATGAATGCTCCTTCTGTCTCTCAATCATGCTGAAAGGTGTTTTTGATCATTCCACAAACTTCCAAGTCTTGTACTGCCCCTGTGCCAATTTTTTTGGAATATTTTACAGACATCAAATTTGTAATTAGCATATACATACAAAAAGCAATACAGCTGATAAGTTAAAATATTAAATATTTCTTCTTTGTGCTGTTTTAATGTAAATACCCGTAAAAGGCAGTTTAAAAATCACTGCTTTGTGTTTTTATTTGCATTTGCCTACTGCACCAACTTTTTGGAACTAGATTTGTATTTAAGAGCTTGACAAAAAGCTCAACAGCTTCCTACACTATGATGAAGAATTATAGCTGACTTACTGAGCTGTCCAGCAGGCCATTGCCATCTGTGTCGTACAGCCGGAACATGACTGCAGAACGAGAGATGAAAGAGATGCGAGAGATAAAAGAGCCCATCTTTTAAACCTGTAACACCCTCACTAGCACCCTCAGGTCCCCTGTGGAGAAAAGGGTTGCAAACACAACTACACTGTTGTCCTCAACGGTGGCAGTTAAGAGTGATTAGGTCGAGGCTAATATAAGTGCTCATGCTAAAGAAGTCAGCAGAGCAGGCAGGGCTTAAAGTTAGCAGTGCTATGAGAGGTCAGGAGCTGGCCTAAGCCTGGAGGTTAATGTGTGAGAGCAGAGTTCTGGCACATTCTGCCTGTCACTCTCACTGGCTGAGGCTTAGCATACAGAGCAACAAATCTCATTATAGAACTGCATTCAGGTTAAAGTGACAGTTCAGAAAACTAAATATACCTCAAGCTCAGAAAACCAAAAGTACACAATTTTAAGCCAAGACATATGTGGCTGCTTTCTTTGTTTTGCATGGAACTACAAGGGTATTGTAGCTAAGAAGCAAATGAAGCTTAGGCCAACCGATTAGCATCAAGTACCACAACATATTTTGAGTTGATGAGGTATGCGGTTTGTATGATGCTAATTGGTGGGGTATAACTTTCCATTACTTATTAGAATTATGCAGAACTAAATAAGCAAACAACCAAACATGTCTGATCAACTGCTGTAAATTTGATTTTTCCTTTAGCATCAAAAATTCAAAAAACGTATTAGCACAACACATCCACACACAGCTATGTCAATGCAAATACATATAGCAAAAATAGTGTAGGCTTAAGGCATGCTACGTGAGGACTGACGGTTAACACTTGGTTTGGGTGTCTAAGCCTTTATAACAGGGTTACCAACACTCACAGTTTTGGCATGAGCTCTCATGCTGTGGAACAAAATCTCAAGCCAACCAACCTACATGCTCTGAACAAACTTGCATTGTGGCTATTTTATGTTCTTTCTATGTGATGACATCTGACTGTTCTTTCTACATGATGACATCTGACTGATAGCCTATTTAGAAGAAATTGACTATATATCTGTCACAGTGTTGAATATGTGCTAAGTCCCTGTCTGGGTTCTGCTCGTCATCTGCCCCAAACAGCATTGGGGTAGTTACTTATAAAAAAGTAATCCATCAAATTACTTCACTCATACTGTAATGGGTGGAGTTCCTTTACTTACTATTTCCTGGAAAGGTAATATCACTACTCATTCATTTACTTCTATGTTATTCTCTAAGCCACATATAAATCTGTACCATACTTTGTTTAAAATTCAAATTATGAACACCTAATGCTATTTGAAGACCTAGAACCTAAAAAGTAGAGACAGTTAGAAAGCATCTGCCTCAAAATACATTTTTGCTCTATCTGAGGTTGCAACACACATGCACTAGGTATTCAGTGTTCTTATTGGTTTGGTTCCAGTGGGTTTGGAGCTGGATTAAAGCAAAAATGTAGAGTAGCTGGGGAGCCCTGAGGACCAGTTTGAGAACCAAGGGTCTGCACGGTGGTCAATGATGAGCTGTCGTTTAAATTAGAGTTTTATGCAGAGTAACACTGGTTAAATGCAAAATGGAATATCTCAACAGTCTCACTCCAACCACCTGATAATCTCATTCCAGTTGCCTCTGTGAAGTTGGAAACATTGCTATATAATGTTTATAATGATGCAAATTTGAAAAAAAAAAAAGTCTGCAAAGAGTAATAACACAGTGGACTGTGGAACAATGGAAAATGACACCAAAGGCCTGTTCTGTAAACAGATTTAAGTCTGTGCCATCTTGTTGCCATTCTTGCCAAAGGCAGCTCCTTGTATTACGAGAGAAACATATGCTTCCCAATATGCGCTTGGCTAGAATCTTTCTTTTTCACTGTTGAAAGAACTATGGCTTAACATCTCACAGCCAAGAAACGCATGACCAAACACAAAGCACTCAACTCACACTCTAGCTTATCCTCTGGGGTCCCTCGCTCCAGCAGTGACAGGTAGCACACAATGTCCTTCAGGAAGACCACCTGTGGCAAGGAAAGTGCAGAACTCTTCTGAGGGGATGGACTTCTCCTCAGAGACACTCCCTTTTCTGACCGATTTTGCTCTGAGGGCAACAACATTGATTGCATGTCCATTAGTGATCTCCAGAGACTGTAGCAAAAATGGATTCCTTGAGTCTTTTAAAGGACTCCAGCATTTTAAACCCTAATCTCCATCTGCTGCATCCATAGTTTATAGTCGATTACCATAGACAATAATTTCAGTGCTTTTTCCAGCACTTAGAGAAGAACAGAAAATCTGTTGACTTAAAACACACTCATAGTAGAGGCCGATGGGCAGTTGCTGAATTCTGTCAGGAATACTTTTTACTGTAGAACAGTATAGGCAGATATTTTTAAATGAAGAATTTACGGTAATATGTTATCAGCATAGTGGGTGGAGTTTTTATATGAATATGAGAAAGCTGGAAGTAACTGGAATTGAGTTTTCACTGTACTCCAGTGAAATTTGGATAAACCTTTAACAGCCCTGGTAAGGCATTCTCTCATATGTGTTTCATATGTATGCACCAGAAACCAGAGGCAAGTCTGAGTCAAGACTGAGACCTGGACACGTCGAATCTGAGTAAAGAGCAAGACTTTGTAGTGGTAGAATCCATGTCGAGAGCGAGACCAGGAGTGGCAACAACCAAGACAAAATGGAGATCAGATTAAGATATATGTTTTGTATGGAATAATATCAAACAATGTGGCATAAAGATATTAACAATTATTATTAAATAGTCAACTTTGCATTCAGTAACTTTTGAAAGCAAATGACGGTGGGGTTCTCCTCTGTCCCTTCTACTTTAAAACTTCACCACATACGTAAATGAATATAAACCAAACAACATACATCTATTTTTTATTACTGACTGAAAAAACATAGTAATAACAGCATTCTGATCTGCTTTCAGAGGATGTTTGAATTTTTCTGTCATCATTAATAATGTCAACAAAACCTTCACATAGAATTAACAGTGCTTTCTCTACAATGTACAACACAGAGAAAGGACTGTTTTATTCTGTTTGAAGGTAGAGTCTACATGTTTAAATAAAATCTGTTGGCTGCCAGTTGAGGATCTAATTGGTCTTTCCGTGATGGCTTAACTGGGTATTATTTGTTTGTTAATGTTCATTGGTTCCAAAATTCAATTTGCAATAACCTCAGACAAAGGCATCATACAGCTTTCTCTATGTTGTACATTGTAGAGTAAGCAATTTTTTTTATTCTATGTGAAGGTTTTGTTGATATTATTAATAACGACAGAATAATAACTTGCAATAACCTCAGAAAGAGATATTATACTCGCTAGTCTCAAAAAAAAATTTCACCTTAACCCTAGACCAGGACAAGACTGAGACTGTTAATTTATGGTCCCGAGACTGGACTTGAGACTGAGACTGGACTGGAGTACTACAACAATACTGGCAACTGCCCAATAGCTTAAAAAATGGCTGTTTCAAGTCAACAGATTTTCATTTTTGTGCAATTGCAATGAATTACCTGTGGTAATCAACAGCATGTTACGGATGCAACAGATAGAGATTGCTTTGAATGGTATTTCTTTAACTCCTTAAACTACAATCTGTTTGTGAGCCTGCACTTCAGTTCCTCACTCTCATAACCACATAATTTATAGATTAGTTTATAATTTCCAAAAAAATTGGAATATCAGAATTCAGACCTGGGGAGAGTCTTGGAGAGTTGGTGGTTTTGGATGGAGCCAGGGCGTTGCTGCTGCTGCTGGCCACTGGTGCTTTGGGCTGTGTGCAGGGCGAGCGATGAGGAGCCCCGGGCGTATGTCCCCCCGTGCCTGAGCGCTGGGAGGAGGAGCGGGAGGAGCACGGGGAGGTGGTGGCACCTGAGCCTGGAGTTATCCCTGCAGAGTGCTCCGGAGTATGTCTGCCCATAGCACTGAGAATACTCTTTCCATTCATCCCTACGAGAACAGGAGCAGAAGAGGAAAGAAAGAGAAGAGAAAGTGTTAGGCAAGAAGCGACAGAGGAGAAACAACACGAGAAACACTTATGGAGTGAGCGATATCACCGCTGGGAGAATCCTTCAGGTAAGGAGAGAGAAACAGTAGAACCGCACAGCTGAAAGCGGAGAACACTGACGCTCTCACTACACCACAGCAATGGCTGCACATGGACAAAAACCACACTTGTACCAAAGGGCATGGAACATAAAAACATGAACTGTAAGCACAATCACGATCAATAATGTAAAATCAATATTTTATAAGAAAAAATATAATAATTTCCCACAAATATTCAACACTCCTGCCAAACACGTAAGGCAACAAAGCGACAGCAGGTGGAGGCATGTGGCGTCTTTGGAGTGACGAGCAGCTGTTGAGCAATGTCTCTTAGTGCTGATGTCACACTATGATGGTACCTGTTATAGGTGCACAAGCCACTTCTGTCTGTATAGAGATGCCTGCATCAATCGACTTGGGTTCTAAAGACACAGTTGAGTCAGAGAGGAAGAAAGCGTGACATAGGAAAAGACAAAGGAGGGCGGATGTGTGAGTTAAAGAAAAAGAGGAAATGTCAAAACAGTGGTTGTATTTCAGTCGTAAGTGTTCCTGAAATATCAAGGGAAAAAGTTTCATGACATAACCGGTAACACTTCACTGTAGGGAAGTTTTCAAAAGACTACATGACGCCTACATAAGCTCATCACGACTAACTAATATAAACTAGGGATGCACCAATCGCAAATATTTCTATTTCAATTTCTTTACAGATAAACAGGCCCACTGTTGATTTTTCGGCTGATTTTTGTTACCCTTTTTTTTATCCGAAGCTTACAAGGTATCAGACAAATGAACATGTGAAACACACTAGTACGTTTCCAGTATCTTTCTATTTTAAATCAGTTGCCTATTTAAATAACTTGAATCAATTGACATTTTAGCACAATTAGTCAAGAATAATAATGATATAACATCTTGGTACAGATGTAGGTGCATTCAAATACAGTACAAGTGCACCTACCTGCCTCACGTTATTTGTCATACAACAGCAACTGTACCAACCAAAATAAAATCAATAAAATGGTCTATTGTCAACTTCGTGTTTAGGGAAAAAAAAACGTACATGTAAACAGTGTGTATACTGATCTACAAAGTCTGTCATTTCACCCTAAACACAACCTAAGACCAGAAAAAACACTCACCTGACACAGATGTTACATCAACTTGATATCAAAAATGGCAAACGTAACTTTTATGACAAAGGCTGGCTATTGGAAAAAGTGTTTATAAATGTTTATGTAGATCTGTGTCAGTTGTCATGAAGGGCTTATGTTGATGTCGCAGCCTCATGAACTATAATGAACTACAATGAAGTGTTAGCACATAATTAAGCAATCAGTACAGCACTCTAAGCATGTTTAATTATGAGGCATGCCAGTGGTGACTGTACTAAGAGTACACTGTAATGATCCCCAGATAACATTCACCTTGGTTATCATTAGCTGGATAACTACTGGATATGGCACGCCAACATACCAAACGCACAGCTTATGCCACTAGATGGCACCACTGACCAGCTCTGTACAGCAGGATAATGCAATCTCTGCATAATGGCTAAAAGCTGTGGGGGAGGGGACTATAAGTCTAAGCCCACCACCTCCCTAACACACGAGTTGGGCTTTTGGACTGAAACCCTGCAACATCTTTCAGCATAGAAAGGGGCACGATCCATCCATCTGGCCCATTTTATTCAGTCACCCTCTGTACTCGGAGAGCCAGTCACTCCCATGGAAGTTAAAGAACAGCAACCGGCCAAAAACCTCCCCACTGCGAGGCATGGAGTGTCCAGACACGTCCTATTTAATTATTTTAATCATGGAGAGAGTGTATTTGTGTGTGGGCATGTGTGCATGTCCTTGTACAACCTGTGCACACACAGAGTTTCAAACTAAGGGTGTGTATTAATTAAACAGGGCTTCCATTTCATTTAAAAGATCGCATTTAAGGACGTTTCAATGACATTGACATTTTTTCACATGTGCAATGCATAAAAAAGGAGGGGACCGAAGCAGATCTACGAAATGACTGTTCTAAAATCGTACTTGTAAAACATCCAGTACTGCGCAAAAGTCAGAGGCCGAAATTCATTTATTTAATTTCCTATTCAAGCAGCTATTAAATACAAGTTATTCATTTTTCAGCAGCAGGAAAACATGCCGAAAACACCTACATTCAGCAAAATAAATACACAAAAGTCTCAACAATTAAATACAATACTTGTATACTCTTTGCCTTTATTACAGCTTCCATTCTTTTCAGGAAATTTGTTTTCAGTTTTTCGAAGAAATCTGTATGGATTTTTCCACACCTCCAAAGTTCAGTCTTAGAAGTTGGTTGCATTTTCTGCTTCTCATTCATAGTCTCAAACATATTCAGTGATTTTGGGGCAGATTTGATGGTCCACACTGTAAAAAAGTGTCAGTTCAACCTAAAAAAAATTCAAGCTAACTAATTTTATTCAACCTAAATAAATACTCTAAATGAACAATTCTTTCAATCAAAGTAATTTTATCAGCTAAATAAAACTAGTTCAATTGCTTTTACTACATTAAGTATTTTTTTAGGTTGAACTGATGAACCACATTTTACAGTGTACCAGGTCTTGTCATAATGTCAGTTTTTAGGAGTTCCATTTTCTCTACATCTTTTAATCATTTTTTGAACTCACAAGTTTTGGAAACTCTTATTTTTTCACATATTTTCCACTGACCTACCCTCTCCTGACGCAAGTGGATTATTTCATATATAATCTCCTCAGAAATATCTCCCTGAAAAAAATTACTTGTACTTAATGGCTGTTGACTGGAAATTAAATAAACAAAGAGTGGTCCCTCACATTTGCAGAGTACTGTATAATTTAATTACATTCATACCTTTTTAATTCACATAAGAAATCCATTATCCTTTATCCATTTTATGAAACGTTCAATGTCCACAAACTTGAGTTGAGTGGTAAAGGATGATCAGAGCTCTGTCACTCAACAGCAATTTTATCTGTTTTCAAGCATTTACATGTAAGTTGTTGATTTTACAGGTCATCAAGGCACTAAAAGGTGAAAATAAACCCTGGGATATTTTTGGAGCTGCTATATTCCATCCTTGTTGAGGTGATTATGGAGAGTCTTGAAGTGATTTGAGGAGTTTATTTACCTAGCAGCGTGGCTCCGGCGCGGGGGGCATCAGGGGAGCCGCCTCCGCTGGTCTTGCTCTTGAATGAGGTGAAGAGGTGCTGGCACAGTTCCTCTGGGATGTCATTCTCTAGATAGGTGGTCATGAAGAGCTGGAAGCCCTCGTAGTCGATAGGCTATAAAGGATAGGCAGAGATATGATGAGAGAGGGAGATGCAGAACGGCCTGAGAGACAAACAGAAATTTCTTTATGCATATGTAATGGCTACCTTTCCAAATATTCACTAATCTGATCTGGTCTGACCAAATTATAGAGGCGGTTAGGGGTTATAGAGTTATTGACATTATTTAGCTGGGACCAGCACTATGGGACAGCCTGCATGCCCTTTCCCACCAGTCCTTTTTCACTCACACAGCAAAAAAGGATTGAATGTTACAGAGGTTACAAAGAAAACAGGTGAACCTTTCAGAAATGTAAAGAAACAGATAAAACATCGGACAAACAGATCATTGAACAAAAAAAAAATCACATAGGGTTACAAGAAGATAATGACAAAGTAAGCAGTTAGGCAATCCCCAACATATTTAAAAGGACACAAATGCATGGCAGACACAGAAAAGAAGCACTGGCTGACCTTTTAACTTTAGGAGACAGTATGACCTGTGCGTGACTCTTTGATTAGACAGGAATGAGAGTGTGGTACCAGTGTATTATGTTTGGGCATGTAGACACATTGAACCACAGAGCATGCAAACCCAGAGGGCATTGGCTTACTTGGTTGAGAACGTCTTGCTTCTGTTTGGCATTCAGAGGGATGGGGAGAGGGTAGAGGCAGAAAGGGAATTAAGTTCTAGTGAAAGGCGGTGCATAGGGTTCCGTGAACCGCTGTCAAGCTGGTGTTTCTGCTGCTGTTTTACTGAACATTCAAATGACTAGCATCTTAAACCAGTACTTAGTTTTTCATACATTGTTTCAAATTCATCATCCTTACTCTTCAAAACACAACACTTAGCAAATTCTCCTATTTGCTAAGCACTCAGCTGTTTGAAAGACCAATGGATTTTCTGCACCTCCTTGACTCGCTATTCTTTGCCTTTTTTGGGGCTGATCTGCTCCACTTGCATAACAGATTAGGGAAAAAAAAAGAAACAAAAACATAGTAATAAAAAAGCTGCAGGTTGAGTCATGCTGAAGGCTGGAGATGCAGAACCTATGCTGATCCATGTGACAGACCTCTCTGGAACATGATCATCCCTGTAGTTAAAACCTCTTTATAAAAGCCACAAAGTCAATCACCAAGGCATGAACACAATGGTCAGAGAGCTGGGAGCAGAGTAACCAGACAGGGAAGACAAGAACTTGCACGTTAAGATCTCCCTTGGAAAAGACTTCGGGTGTGAGTGATGCTGGCAGACTGCAAATGAAAGGAACATGGCTAAAATGCATGGATGCACATGCCAAAGTTTACAGTACAGTGCAAAAGTCTTTTTATTTCCAGCCAAAACAGCCATTAGGTACAAGTTATTCTTTTTCCATCGTCAGAAAAAAGCAGAAATGTATTTGACATGTATTTAACACACAAGCCTCAAGTAATAAATATATTACTTTTCAGTACTTAGTGTGTTCATGCTTCATCAATCCCAAACATATTTAGTGACGTTAAGGTCTGGGCTCTGGGCTTGCCAGTCCATCTCAGATGTCCACTTTCACTGCTCTAGTCCACATGTTCTTTTCTCAGTAATGACTTCTTGACATCCACAGACATCCACTTAGACCCATAATGCTGAGTTAAACTATTACATTAAATTAAAGCCATTATGGAGACCACAGAAAGCCACAGCAGATTACATGTGGCTTGAAATTTACAGAGAATGGCAGCCAGTCTTTTAGATGAACAGACAAAGGCTGTCTGTTCGGTCTGAAAACGGTCTGTTGCCTCAGCTAACATTACCATCCTAGTCTTTTATCACCCAATATCTTTCTGCTCAAAAACAGCAAGCTTATAAAGCAGGAGTAAAATGATGCCAAGCATGATAAATTATGTTGAAAGTTTTATTTCATTACATTTATGTGAGTAGAATGTAAAAATGAACCTGAACTTGATGTGTATCGGCACTCTCACTGCATGCACTCTACAGCGGCACTCTGCTATGTGACGCTACGCGACACGTCCAGTGTGAGGTGGCCTTCCGTATCTCTTTGGAGCATAACATAATGTCAGAAACAGCTTTTGTTGGGAGAACACAGCTGTAGGTTTTAAGACTGAATGGATGGAAAAGTTAAAATAGTGTAGTGTACAAAAGTGAAGAGTGAACAAATTAAATACTGATAGACTTGATATTATACATAGTGTATAAGCTTTTGTGTAATGTTCTGTTAAATATATGTTTCCTGCTTCTTTCTGACACTGAAAAATGAAGTAATGGTTGTTTTGAAAGGAAACTGAATAAACAAATTGGTGTTCTCTGACTTTTGCATAGTACTGTGTATAAGATACTTTAATATAGTAGTAGAGTAGTATAGTAATGTAATGTATACTAAGCAAGGCTGCACAAACCAAATGTCCTATTGTGATGCTATTGCTATTTATACTGAAATACAACAGTAGACACTGCAATATTTTCACAAAAGCCACTATGCATTATTCAGACCACATCCACGTCTACATTGCCACAGCACACATAGACCGGTCATAATGGTCACATATTCACATCACTGAGCAGAAACTGTGTCAAGTGTACTACTAAAATGAATGCAGTCCTGGCAACCTTTTTACAACAATCATATTGTCACTGTGAACGCTGTGATAACAACTAAAAGTGGTGTATTGTGCAGCTGAGTCAGATCTGTCTTTCACTGTGAGTAAGTTCATTTGTTAGAGTGAAAGGCAGTAAAATGATGATGGCAACAACGGCAACTTCCTGTCTGACATTCACAAGTGCAAAACACTTTGAGTGGGGCTTTTTTCCATTAAAGTAACAATGTGTTCATTAAAATAACACTGGACCATTCAACGGACCATTTACATAACCTTAACCAGAGAACGCCTTTATATTATTAAAATCAGGGAATGGCTTTATATAATTCCAAGCTCTAAACTAATGATCACTGGTAGTATGTGGTAAATAATAATCATATACCGCAATGTAATATAATGTGGTAAATTGCCACAAAAATACAAACAACAATATATTTCAAGGGCTTTTACTAATGCCAAAGCCTCTTACTTGATGTATAATATATTATGTAACATATTAAAAGCCTTCATTCTAAAGATATGAAGGCTCTTCATCATGGAGTAGATCTTCCTTTTACTAAATTAGTGCCATGTCTGGTACCTTGTCATGGCAGCAGCAGTGTTAAGAAGCCCTGCACCTAATATTTACAACCCAGCAGCATTAAGTCAGTCGTGGCTCATACATCATTGAGATATAGAGCCCTCTCACCGGCAGGAGGGCAGCATCCTGGCACTGATGGCATGTCACCAACATTTAGAGCCATTTCTGGGCTCTGTATGATTTACAGGTGCTCACAAGTGCACTGTCTGACAATGAAGAGCGGGCAGTGGCCACACCAGTCAAGTCGGCGCTGGCTGCAGACCCGCTGACTGCACCAGTACTGATTCCATATCGATCTGGTCAAGGCTCTGGGTCACAACCAGCGGCGCCTAACCCAGACGAGCTTGTTATTTATGTCAAGTTAGAAGAAAGCATAGAAATATAATGGTGACACTCCATAATGCAAATTATAAAAGTCTCTGTCTGTCTCTGTTTTCAAGGTAACATGATGCATGGTTTTGGTGGTGTGTCAGTGCCAGGCCTTCCTGAAAGGGGAGCAGTGGGGGACAAGGCACCTCAGCCTCATGGCGGTGGATGACTAAGCATTTCCTATAATGACCAGGGGTCTGAGAAGGCTATATTGGTGTTCTGCCATGTCAGAGCCAAAGGCTATAGTCCTTTTACAATGCATTTAATCAAGCGAGCTCATAGCTTTTCCCCCTGCTGAGGGAACGTACCTGCTCAGGGTTGTACTTAGAGAGCACACCATTTCCATGAAACTCCTCCAAAACATCTTTCAGCTTCTTAGATGAATCTGTGTATGACAGAAAGATGGTGTGAGATAAAATATGATATGAAAGAAAGATGAAAATCAGTATGTGAATAAAAAAACATACTAAATAAAAGAAGCATTTCCCAACCCTGTTCTCAGGGATCTCCACACTGTAAAACACTGTACAAAAGTGCACTGGCAAATTTTTTTTCGTAGAGTCACACTTTTAATTCTGTTAAATAACAGTACATATTCTGTGGATATATGGGACAAAATACATCAGTTCTTATATAGGTTAATATAATTTAACTTAAAATAGAAAACTCTGCATTATGACATTATATGTACCTTACACATACAATAGAACATTTTTAATTTATTCATTTTTAATGAGGCATCTGATTAAGGAAGTAACTAATAGCAGCTCTTTCTAAACATAAAATCACTAGATATAAAATCCATCATTACAACTGAAAGAGTCATTTCAATTAAAGGAAATTTCTCTTTATTTCTCCTTTGCCCATGTGATCAGTCATCAAGTACATTTTATAAAGCATTCTGCTGCTTTGACATGAAATATTCAATATTCATCATTGTGGCTAAACTGTAAATAAACTGAATGTCAAATGTCAAGTTTATCAGCCAAATATTAACATTTCTGAGAAACTGCAGCATATTCATAAAGACCCAGATTAAGTATGTTACTATCAAAACACCTTTGTTTTGAAAACCAAAGAATTGGAGCGTGCTAGCTAACATGCTATCTTTCACCGTGGTGAAAAAGTAGCTAGGTTCCCCATTCAGCATGAAGGTGCAGTTTTCTCTCATAATCTTGTTTCACCGGCGATGTCTCTGCAGGCTCAAGCTGACCCACACTCAGCACGCAACTCGTCTCATGATCAAAAACACTGATAAACTGCAGTGAAACTGAAACTGGCAGGGGGCCCTCATGACTCGTTTGGGAAACCCTGATTTTAAATATTTCAGTCAGTTTGAATGAATCACATGCTGTACTTTAGCTTAGTTAAGCTGGCTTGATGAAAATTCTTAGCTTTAAATATCACAATAGCCAGAATTCACGTTTTGATAATAACCCGTCCAAGTTTTCATATCAATAAAACTCCAGAAGGTTTATAATCTCTGCAAAACTTTAATATATGCAAAATTGATGAAACATACAATATATAACTACACTGATGTATTTATGATGTATATAATAATAATAATAATAATAATAATAATAATAATGATGGTAATAATAATAATAATAATAATAATAATATATCAGTTTAGAGTTCTGTACTTTACTGATTATCTGTATAAGAAAAATGAAATTTGATTTCAGGACAGCACCGGCCACGGGACTGGACAGCACCGGCCACGTGTAGACTAATGTCCAACCTGTAAATGATCCTGTATTTTTAACCATCTATGTAATATGCATATTATTTATTTATAGTATTTCATACATTGATTTAATGTAATTATATTCATTTTTTACTATTTTGTTCTTTTCAATGTTATTGTCAATTGTAATTCCCACCCTCTGTCATTTGCATTGCTTCTACCACACAGCACTAACCAATCAGGCAGAGTATGCGTAACGTGTCATGGAACTGCAGCTCATGCAATGTCCTAGAGCAGCTTCACACGCTTGGAGGAGAATGCTGACAGCTCCTATACACGACGTAACGTATATCCTGTAGCATTACTGGGACGGCATGTTCAATAACATTGCATGTGTGTAAGGGACTAATTATCAGACTGATTATTAACATTTTAAGACCTTCTTTTTGTTTGTGCTACTGAGGGCACTGCATGCAGGAAGCTGTCAGACTACACAGAGCAATTACGTAAATGACACTCAAGTCTGTTAGCATGAGCAGAACAAAACCGAGCTGGCCACTCTAGCTTCACTTTGTTTTCTCTGAGCCGCAAGCTTTGGCACTGAGTCATCATGTCTGTCAGTAGTATCTGCCAGAACAGTAAAAGGTGTTTTTTGTTCAGGTTTGATGGGGGTGCTCCCTGCGTCTCCCAATGATCACACATCTGACTCAATGTTACTTAAATGTGTACACCTCACTTCTCACATTCTGCAAGTGTCACTCTACACAACAGAGAAAAAGAGAAAGAAATCTCCCAAAAGATTTATATGCATTTCTATAGTGTAAGTATAAAACATTAATCTATAAATGATTACTCTGATTATAAATTAATGTGCATGTTCTGTATTTATAAATAATTTATGATTAATACAGCAGTATTGCTATTCCTGTCTACTTACAGCCATACCCCTAAATGTCTTTGCAAGGGAATAAAACACAATCCTTATAGTTTGAAAGCAAAACACACACACACACACACACACACTTAATTGCACGCAATTTGTAGACACCTGCTCATCCAACATTTCTGTTGGGTATTAATCAAGGGTATTAATAGGGAGTTTGTCACCTCTTCTCTGCAGTAACAGCCGTTACTCTTCTGGGAAGGTTTCATGCTAGATTCTGGAAGATTGCTGTGAGAATTTGATTGCATTCAAAAACACTAGAGCATTAGTGAGGTCAGCTACTGATGTTGGATGAGTGGTTCTGGATTATAAACGGCACTCAAATTCATCACAAAGTTACTGGATGGTGCTATATCACTCCAGAGAACATAGTTCCACTGTTCTAATGCTGGAGAGCTTTATATCTCTCTCATACAACCCTGATATGAAAATTTTGTGGCTGATATATTTTAGAGGGTTAAACATTACAATAACCAACAATATCAATCAGATATTGTTTTATATTTATATTTTAGATTATAATTTTATACTCTATATACTATAGTTTTAGTTAAATGGCACTTTACAAACTGATATTATTGTGATTGTCAGTTGTCCATGATTGCATTTCTTAAAGTCAATTAAACAAAAAATACTCACATCCTTAAGCAGTATTTTAAACATGAGGACAGAGCTAACCAGAATGCTTTGTTGGTGGCATAACTGTCTCAGTTTATCATCTGGAGACTAACAGTTTGAATCCTGGTGATGCCATGACCTCAATAAAGACGCTAAATATACTGCCAGTATTATCATTCAACGCCGATAACACTGTGGGTCGCTATTATTGGCCAACTGGTATATCGGTTGAGCTTTACCCTCTAGCCCTTGGCACTGAGAATGGGGACCTTAGGTACAAGTGCAGCTGCTCCAGGATGTCCCATTCTATTAACAATGCTTTTCTAGGTTATACAGTACAAGCTATATGCGTGTAATTGAATGCCAGAATCAATGATGAGTGCACCTTAAAGTAGCTGAATTCACTAATTAGAAGAAGTGGATAATTTTGGACATCTAGTTTGAAGAGAATGAAAGGGAGAGAGATATAGAGAGCGAGATAAATAAATAATGAATAGCTTTGTAGCATTGCCATTAATGAAACTGCTGAAGGTTGCTATTTAGTTGAGGGACGGAAGGTATTTCACCTCTAAACTGAGGGATCCGGCTTAGTCAAAACGAGGCACAATTTACTAAAAATAAACTCGATGAGCAAAAGCCAGAGCTCACCTCCTCTCTAATCTAAGCAAAATGAGTCATCCTTCATCAGGTAAACCCCTCGACAAACTGGCGGTTAATGTGATAGGAAAGAATGACCTCACACTTGCATTGACTGAGTCTGAGATTTATGAGCTGTTTGTTTAGTTTCAGGTCACAGTTCCATGTAAATGGCGGTCTTTGCTGTGAAATGCCAGAGGTCAGACAGAGAGGAGGAACAAATATGAGCACTGAGGACTGTGAGTGAGTGGCTGACAAACACCCTGCTAAATACTATTAGCAGTGATTTATATACATCTAAATAGACTCAGCTTAGAGTTGACATGAAGCTTAAAATTTATCTCTGCAGGATGCTTCTGTAGCCAGTAAACAGCTTCCAAAAGCCATGGCCCTAAGTATTTTTGTATGATGGTGAATGTTGGCACCCATTATCAGCTCATTAAAGAGACCTGACAAATATATTTCACTGTTTATTAACACCACTGCGTCAAAACAAGCCAGTCTTTAGCGCCTAGCTGAGAACAGACACACACACACACACACACACACACACACACGCTCACATATACACAATACACACGCAGTATGTACACTCACCCCCCAAAGACCAGCATGGGCTGTATGTAATGGAACAGGGCAGAACTGCTTAATTATTTAATTTATTAATTAATTCGATTTCACCCAATTTATGTGCCTTGCTGAAGATTACTGTACTATCAGTACTGTACTTGGCACTCTCTGCGATGAAATGCAGCACTCTAACACTACAGTATTAGAATATATTCTTATAATATAATATTAACTCAGAAGAACACATTTTTGAAAATATAAATAGCAGGACAAACAGGAGAAGGCAGGTTCTAAGCATTCTGGTAATCCAGCAAATCAAGAAGGCAATTGATTCCTCTACTGATTAGAACATGTCATGACATTCTATAGTTTCTGTTACATATGCTTAAAGTCAAAGACCATTTTTGCCACAAATTTTCTAGAGTTAATCTTTACTGCATTGGGCAGTGTCAGAAACAGTACACTAGTCTAACTGTATTTTATCACTGAAAATGTTTAATATCTAAATCATAATCACTGGAAAGTTAATGTCAGTATTGTGAGATCAAGTCAAATTTGAATGGTGCATCCAAAAATCAGTCTGGAAAAAGCTTCTTTCAGTTTAAATGAGTCTATGAGTCTTAGAGATGAAAATATACACGACACGTATTTCTCCAATACACATGCGCACACACACACACACACACACACACACACACACTTGTGCTGGCAAAAGTTTCACAACAGATAAATCAGGTTTACCTGAAAAATAAGAATCTGAATCTGAATACGTTCCTCAGATTTCAAATAATACTTAAACGAAAAAACCTAAAGGCAAATTTAAAAAAACTCTAACTTTTAACAATGTCATACTAACAAAGCTTGTAATTTGAATTTTCATTGTATTTTTGGCTTTTAGTCAGGTACCTCAACTTACACACAAGTGAAA